CTGTCTGTCTGTCTGTCTGTCTGTCTGTCTGTCTGTCTGTCTGTCTGTCTGTCTGTCTGTCTGTCTGTCTGTCTGTCTGTTGACAAAATTACTCAACAAATTATGGACATATTTTCATGAAATGTTTACCATAGGTGGGTGTAAAGGAGCACACCGTTACATTTTGGCAAAGATCCGAATCACGATCTGGATCCAGGAATTTTTTTGAACGATTCCTCACTATTGCAGGATAGGGGAAATTGGCCTTGGCAGAGGTTTGTGCTCTTGGAGTGCTTCTAGTTTTCATTGAAAAGAACATTGGTTTCTGTCTGCAGTTGGATTAGGATCAGATGCTGAGTCGAAAAGGGTTTGGAGAAAACATTTAATAATCATAAAACTAAAAACTGAACTTTCTGGTTCAAACAACATTAATTATGTTTCAAAAATTAAAATAAAATATTCAAGCCAAAGTGCACATGTCAATTTTTTTTCCACATTTACCTTTTGACTTCACTAAAAGGCCAAATCTGTCCATCTAACATTTAACATAACATTTAGATTCTTATTTATGTTAAATGGTAAATCTTAGTACTTAGAAATAATAGGTTTGTTTTTACAACTTTGCTTTTAACTATTGGAGCCAACTCTGTTAGCAAAATATCTCGTGAACCAATGGATTTTCAGGGAACTTTCAGAGAGTGGACGTCTTTACAACTGATCTACTACTTTTAAAGATACTGCTCCCTGAGAAGTCATTTTCCATCTTACAGAACATGATCTGTTGCTGCATATTTCACCGCAAATCCAACAAAAACAGGAAACTGAGTTACAAACTCACCGCAGCCCCATCTTCTGTAAAGAATAAATTAATAAATAAATCCTCACATTTCCAGCTGACAAAATAATTGTGCTTCCAAACTCATTGTAGAAACTCTCAGGTGCTGATTTGAAATAAACTGAACTAAATAAGATTTTCAAACAGGCTATTTGTTTTATGATTTTTTTATGGTTTTTGCAGTAAAGCATGGTTGTGTAGAATTAGTTTTGAGCTGAATAACCAAAACTAACTTTATGTGTTTGCTAACCCAGGAAACGTCCACTGAGTGGTGAAATAAGATCCACTAAGTGTGTTTCCTTCGGGTAGAGATATTATGTCTTATTTTGACAGCTACCATCAAAGCAAAGCCTCAGAGTGTGGACATCTCTTGAATATTTCTTAAACTAATTAGGCATTCAGTGTTGCTGTCTGAGCATTAGTTTTAAGACCAGGAGCTTAGTTTTAAGATCTGAGAGTGGCTAAGGAAAAAAAAAAGCAGTTATTGTTGATTTGTTAGTTTTTTTCTTTTAGCTGAACCTGATCAAAAAATCCCATTTTAAACCTGGTTTTTAATTTTCCTGTATGTTTTACTGCAACATATTTACATAATTGGAACTATCTTCACCATGATTACATCTAAAAATTCAGCTCATTCTAGGGATGGGTGCTAGGACTTGATGGTTGCCACTTTTAGCTAGCATTTTGCTACTATTAGCTATTAGCTATTAGCCAGCCTTTTCCTGCTAAAGCATAGCTGGCATTCAAATAATTATAGCTAGATTCTTGCTACATTTAGTCTTTAACTAGTAATTTGCTACATTTATCCAATGTTTTGCTTTTTTTAGAATTTAGCTAGTATATTTTGTTACTTTTAGCTTTTGGCTGCAGTTGTGCTACCTTTATCCAGTCTTTAAATGCCTTTAGTTTTTAGTCAGCATTTTTCTACAAGAGCGTCTTACTGGCATTTAAACAATTACAGGTAGCTTTTTGCTATAATTAGCCTTTAATTAGCACTGTGACTGCTGGATATGGGCACCAGTGACCCACGCGACCCTGAAAAGGAAGAAGCGTGTACAGAAAATGGATGGATGGATGGATTAGCCTTTTGTTAGGTTTTAGTTAGCATTTTATTACTTTTAGCTTCTAAATGCCATCTTGATACTTTTAGTTAACCATTTCTCTTTTTTAGCTTTTAACAAGCATGTTGCTACTTAGCTTTTATTTAGCATTTTGGTACTTTTAACTTTTAAATGCACCTTTGATACTTTTAGCTTTTAAGAAAAATGTTGCTACTTTTAACTTTTAGTTAGCATTTTGTTATTTTGAGTTTCTGGATTACCTTTTGATACTTTTAACATTTAGTTAGCCTTGTGGTACTTTAGCTTTTAGTGAGTTATTTTGCTTCCTTAGACTTTAAGTAGAATTTTGCTACTTTTCTCTAGCCTTTTGCTGCAAATGTTTCACTATATTTAACTAACATTTTGCTACATTCAACCTTGAGCCACTCTTGGCTTTAGCTAAAGTTTTGCTTTTGTTTAGTTTGAACAACTTAGTTTCAGCTTCTCCAGTAAGTTTCAGCCAAGTACTACATTAGAATTAACTCTGTATGTGAAATTGCACTTGCTCTAGTTCACACTAAATCAAGCAAGCAGAACTCAGAAGGAACATTTGGCATTAAAATTTGAAGAATCTTCCGCAGCACCCAAACACAAAAGGAGCTTACTTTTCTCCAGCTCCGTGATCCTCTCCATGAGGGAATTGAGAGCGCTCTCGGTGCGTTGGCGGTGGGCCGCCGTCTCGTTGTAGAGCTGGCTCTTCTCCTCCTCCAGCTCAGCCACCTTCCGGAGGAGCTGCGTTTCAAGCGCCCCCAAACGCTGCCGCAGCAGCTCGCGGAGCTCCGGTGGCAGGGGAGTCAGGGCCGAGACTCCTCCTGCTGACACGTTGGTGCTGCCGGGGAGACGCAGACTCTGCTGCTGGAAGGCAAGAGAACAGACAGGTCAGAGAAAGTGCTGGACGTGTTCGAGGCAGACTCACACATGAGGACAGAAGTCAAACTGAGTTTCTCCTGCCCTGGTATCATTTTAGCAGATCTGTTTGGGAAACAAGCAGCAGCGTCTGAACGAAGACAGCATGTTCTCGTGGCAGACGTTGACTGGCGACCTGCCATGCACCCGTGGCTGTGCCGGGTCTTAAAGGTAGACATCACCCAGAGCTGACACCAGGCATGATGACAGATGCTTTTTAGAAATGGTGCCCACGCTGGTGACTGCTACATCGATACAAGGAAATTTGTCCTCCAGTTCAACTGTTGCCCTGGCAACTTTGATAATCTAACACTGGGACAAAAACAAACTTTATCCATTTGTATTGACCACTGCTGAAAGTAGGGTAATAACGTTTTGTAGATCCCTGTGTCTGTTAGCAAAGTATCTCATGAGCACTTGATTTGAATCAAATTTGCATAAAGTAATTACTGCTGAATAGGCATGTAAGGAAACATCAATACACTGATATACATAATGTTTTATTTCCTAATATTGTATCCATTCTTAAAAGCACAGCATTGATTTTTAACTAAGGCATAATGGGTGGATGTTGTAAAGCAAATGTGAAATACAAATGCAGTTTCCATTTTTGTTCAGTGTTTTACTGATTGCAAAAAAATAATCTTGCTTACAGCAGGGCTCCTCAAACATTTTGGGATGGGGACCCCTTACAAAGGTCAAAAATACCCAGGGACCCCTTCATAAACCCCAGGTGTGATGCAATCATTCATTTAGAAATGCAAAATAATTTACTGTTATTTTGACCCCTAAATACCATGGGAATATTATTTTTTGTTGGGTTTAGTATGTTTGTTTCATTAGTGCATTATTTCTCATATGCATTTTTCAAAATAAAAACAAATTAACAATTTATTGAAACTATTTGAGGACCCCCAAAACTTGGCTCGTGGACCCCTGGGGGTCCTGGGACCCTAGTTTGAGAACTTCTGGCTTACAGCACTGCAATATAACCTATCCTGACCCCTATGTCTTCTTACGCATCAAATCACTAAAGTATTGCCAATACACAATTTATAACTGAATAACTTTTGGAATCAGCCACAATCAAGATGGCCGCCACAGTGAAGCTGATCTTAATGTATAGTTTCTGTCCTAAAACACAAGCTAACTCAGTCAGCATTACATTATTTCTCCAGAGTGAGATTGTTCAAAATGTTATCTACAACAGGTAAGATATTATTTATTACCAATGTTTCCACAGCAGCCACATCCAAAAAATAAATAAATAAATAAATAAAAAAATTGGAAAGAAATTGTTTTCCAATCAATATATTTTTGTTTAAAATTCAACCTCACATTCCTCCTCACTCACAGCACATCCTTGGTTTAATCAGGGTATTAAATTTCCAATAACAGGAAGAACAGACAGAACAACTGAGCAGCAGATTTTACATCAAATATCCTTGAATTGAAAATCAATGGAGCCTTTTGGTCAGGGCTGCCTGATGATAAAAAAAAGAAAAAGCTTTGAGGTCAGGATTTAAATCAGCCCGTAGACACCTAATGAACTCTTATCGATGCCTGATCTCGGAGCCTCATGAATTTAATAACAAAAGGAAGCCTCATGTGATCAATATGGACGACTGAAGCCCCACGTGTTTGATTCAATCGGAAACATTTGTGTGCTCTATTGCATCTTGGGAGATTCGTCTAATCGTCTGCTATGAATAATTAGCTGCATGACTGCAAAATAAAAGAGGATCTGGAACACATATCATAAATTATTCAAGGAGGTGCTGCAAATCCCTGCACCACGATCACGGTTACACCTTTGACAAGACTTTTTCTTTTTTGGCAGCTCCTCTCCCATAAAGGCAGAACCATCAGATTTGTCTTCATAACCTCTGATCTCCAGATTCCCCTGTGTGACACTCGTCATAATTTATGTATCAGCAGTTTGCCATATTTTATTTGAGGACTTTATAT